CGCTAGATACTTTGGTAGTAACAAACAAAAATGTCTCCAGGTATTGCCAGATATCCCATGCAAGGGTTAAGAAGGTGTCAAAATCACCCCTGATTAAGAGCCACCGGTCTATATAGAACCTTGCTGTGATGACCTGCACTTTCTAGAAAGGTGAATAAGGACAGTTGAGCTCCAGAAAGAACCACCGTACTTTAGCTGATGTCTAGTCGAGAAGTTCATTGGAATCTAGAAAAGGATGTAAAATCATTCTTTGAAGTTTTATTCCGTCAAGTTCTGTTTCCATCAAGTTCTCTTTTGGTTTACATACAATCAGCCTCAGTGGGTGGCTAGAAAATTATTCTATTACTCTGTTGTAGTCAAAGCTGAGAACGCTCTCCTGGTTCCGTGCCAAAAAGAGTGTGCTGGATTCTTACTTTCTTCGGAGTGGAGCACCTGTAAAGCAAACACGACCTGACCTCTTTAATGTGGATCGTCTCTCTTTCCACCCCTTCTGTGTAATTTGGTGCTGGGTGAACAATTTCTTATACGGGATGAGGATAAGCGAAGCTGTAGAGAATAAAAGGGTTAGTAAATCCTATCATTCACATATTATTCACAATAATAATTAATGGACGTCTTCCTTATTTCTACAGAATAGATCAGGAGGTCAGCAAAATTTTTCTGTGAAGACCCAGGTAGTCAATCCTTTAGGATTTACAAGCCATATGGTCTCTTTGCAGCTTCTCAATGCTGCTATTGTAGTGCAAAGCATCCGCTGAAGATAGTAGGAAAATGGACTCGGCTGGGAACCAGCCCATCTTCGTTTGGCCCGTGGGCCTTCATTCACCGAGCCTTGACCTAGACTATCAGCAACAGCCTTCATCTTTCTTGTGTTCTTCCTTTATCCCGTGGCTGGCCCGTCTCTCAATGGAGGGATGTTTCTACTTACTTGTAAATAAATGTGTATCATTCATTTGCTTTTTCAAAAGAAATAAAGTTTGATGACCAATGTATCTATGATAAATAAAATAGTGTTTAATTTTCCTTGGTTTTGAGCTTTATAAAATTGTGTTATACTCTTATAAGTGCTACTGTAAAAACGGTAAATCGTGAAAGCATTTTTAGAGTTGTCGTGGATGCTCATTATTTAGTAGTAATTGCCTCCTTACATCTTTGCATTTGGCTTCCTTCACGACAGTTTAGTTTTAATTCATTAAGGAAGATCGAATACTTAACAAATAAGTATAGTAGAAGGAACGATCATCTGAATGTAACAGGATGGATTTTTTGTGTTCTGCGTAGACTAAGCTCTCCTCAGAACAGAGTCGATGCTCTGTAAACAGGAGTCTGCAGAGCGACACCTCGGTTCTTCTCTTGCTCCCGTTTATCCAGTCATGGCTGAGGGTTTCTTTAACCGTTTTAGTCCAGCGTCATGATTCGTATTCTGAAGCGTCAGGATAAAAAGTAATGTATTATGACGGTAACTTGAAAAAGTAAGAGTGACTGATTAAGTAGCTGATTGGCTTATTGGAATCCAACTCACCCATAAGATGCTCCTATATAGAAACAGTAAAAGAAAGGAAAGCCTGAACGATCGAGCCCCGGCCTTTTTTTTTTCCCTCTTGAAGTGACTCACCCATCCTGCCCTGTTCCCAAGCAGAAAGTGCCTCGGTTTATCACCGAATCGAGTGCATCGATAGCAGCCGAAGCCATCGAAGCTGATTCTGGGGAAACTGAGTGTTCCGGAACAATCTAAAATCGAAAATAACTTAAACCTATCCAATGCGTTTATTGTCAAAATATCATACATTATTTCTTTTTAGTTATAACCAGCCGCAAAAGGCCATACTACCAATGGCCCCGTGATAGACATTACATAAGCAAAAACATATACATCAGATGTAATTGACGTGGAAACTACGAGACTACAACGGAGTGCGGACGCTCTCTGAATGACAACTTTAAATAACGTCTCTAAATCGGCCTGTTGCCACAGGGTTAATAGCATCTCCATAACTGTGGATGGGTGATTTTACAGCCTTGCCACGTTCTGTCTGCAGCATTTAATGTGATTTCTGTTTTAGGGCTCTGATCTCCTGGCTGTGAATAAGTAATGTGAATGCATAAACAGATTTCAACAAAAGTATAAAATAGCATGTGGCAAATTGGAAGATTAATTGAGGAAGGGTTGGGGAGGGTCATACAGATCATTAATAATTCTTAAAACAGTTTTTATTCAGTGAATTCACTCCTTGACTTACTCGTTTTCCAAAAGAGCTAAATATGTAATCATTTCTCAAGATTTGCTTTTCTAAAATATTAATCTTAAAAGAAGAAAGATAGAGAAATTACCTCCTTGGATCTAACTCTGAAACACTTCCAGGCTGATGGGGAGACAGAGATTTTGTTCGTGTTCTTTATGAAAAACCTGCTTTTGCGTTCTTTTTCTTCTTTCTTTTTTAGCAAGAACAGAGTCAAACATAGAGCTATCTGTAATGTGACTTTAGGATGTGTGAAAAGCACTCTGGTCATAAAAATCCCTTTTTTATTGCTTTACTAATCTTTGGCAGTCTATAGTAAGAACATCTTTGCTTTAGTTTTAGACATCTAGTGTCTCGGGAGTGAAAACATTGAACGATCATTTGTAGCAATGAGCAATTAGCTCATCTCATTCCTCCAGTCAGTGTTTATAGCAACAAGCCCAGCTAATCCGCATTCAGCACTTTACCGTGTTCCGGGCACCTCATGTCTTGTTTCATCCTCACGTACATACTACGAATGTGTCGATTCTATTATTCCCATGTTTGCAGGGAAACCGAGGCTCAAAGAGGTAAATCGCGCGTTGTTCAAGGTCAGAGAACTCATGAGAGGCAAAGCTGAGGCTGCGTCCGAGACTCAGGTCTCCGAGGCCAGTGTCCGTGCTCTTAAAAGCTACACTGGGAAATCGGGGAAAGGGGGAGAGAAAAAAACCCAGGCACTAATCATGTTACGGCGGGTTAAGGCTGGGAAGGGACAGATGGGGGCGCTGCGACGCGACCCTGGCTTCTTCGCTGCCTTTTTTTCCTGTTTCTCCTTATTTTCGGTAAAGCTGAAGCAGGCACAAGCATCACATGGTGCCCAGCTATCGTAGGTAGTACGGCGTTTTTAAAACGGCAGACTATAACTCATTAGTGGGTCATAAAGTCAATTGAGTGGATTATGAGCAGCATTTCGGGGAAGTCTGGCACGGTCTTAGGAGATTTTATGAAAATATGTCATAACCCGTATTACGGGAGTTAAACAATGTTAAGATCCAAGGCTTAGAAAAAGAATTTGCCAGCCCGTTTACTCATAGGTATTTGATGGTACGTGTGTGAATGTGGACACTGGGGAGGTCGCTGCCATCATCTCGCTCTGCCCCCATCGGGAAGCGGGATGCGGCCGGGGAGGGGGGCTTAATCCCAGAGCAGAAAAGGATTCATCTGAGCAGTTCATTGTAACTCGCCCCCGAGTTCCCATGAGAATTATCTCAGGTCCCCAGGCCGAAGTCAAGCATTCCCTAAAGGAAGCGTTATGTGGCCAGCGTGTTAATACAATCAGATAGGAAAGAGCAGGAAACATGGGCGTGTGTCGCAGGGCACATCGGAGCTAACGCCGGGCCGCTGCGGTTTGTGTGTGACACGGAAGACGCGTGGGAGGGACGTCATAAAAGCCATCCGCTGGTGCCTCGTCTGAATCTGTGGCATATGATAATAAAAGCTAATGCAGGCTTTGCCAGGGACCACCCTAAGTACTTCACGTCCATTCATTTTTAATCATCACAGCAAGTCTGTGATTTAAGGACCCTCTTTAGTCCCATTTTACAGATGAAGAAATGAGTGGTGATCGAGTAACATCCAAGACCCACAGCAAGGATGGGGAGGAGCGGGGTTCAAAGCCAGGCCGTTTGGCTCTGCAGTCCGTGCTCAGGGTCTGACACTTCCTGAGCATCGCACAGTTACGGCATGGATATCGTATGAATTAATTTTGCATGAACACAGTTAACTTTTGAGAAACTGACTCTCGGTCAGCAAAGTATTGGGATTTTCAAATTGAGTTTCAACATGTGTGTAATTTTTTTTTTTAAAAGAACATTATGAAATAAAACTTTTTTAGCGTTGGGGCAAATTTAACATTTTAATCGAAATAATGTGATTGCCTTCAAATAAGTGGTTTTTGTCATTAGAAGATGGGGAAGGATGAAGTGAAAAATATAGAAGCATGTTTGTTCGCCTGTTCCGTATGAAAATGCGGGTAGTCAACACTGAGAAGATGCTGAGTATTGTCAGGGTTCAGTCAGAAAAACAGAACCTGCGTGAGCGATATAGAATAAAGGATTCGTAATAGGGACGAGAACTTAGATAATTATAGAACCTTCTGGAAATGTCTATTCAAGGACTCTTGAGACTGATGTTGGTCCCGGGCTGGCTTTTGGGGTGGAGAGCAGGTACGAAGTGGGTGGGAGCAAGGGCGTGCTGGAACCTGGTCTGTCCTCACCTCCGACCCTGATGAGACGTACAGGGAACCTGCAAGAGCCGCTGGTGCCCTTTGCGGTAGAGCGACACCCACACCTGGCCCCAGCTAGAGAAACAGAAGGAGGGCACGCACTGGGAACCGAGGGGCTGCGGGGGGCTGCTGTGTCCTGCTGCTGGGTGAGGTGCGGGCCACAGGTCTGCAGTAAGGGGTACGAGCTGCTGTGATGCCTGGCATCCCTGTGCCAGTCTTTAAAATGGAAAGAAGAAAATAGGAAAGAAGGAAGGAAGGAAGGAGAGAAGGAGGGAAGGAGGGAAGGAGGGAAGGTAAGGGGAGTAAGTCTAGAGACATGTTCGTGTTCAGTGTTTGTACAGGGAAACGTAAAACGCCACCACTGAGAAGGATGGGGGCTGTTTCTCTCATGCATCAGTCCAGACGCATCAGTGTGTGGTCTGAGAAGGGGTCAGCTCTGCTCCTAGAGACCCTCCAGGGCCAAGCTCCTTGTCTCTCATTGCTTCTCCATCCCCTAGGCAGCCATCGTCCTCCAGAGAGTGACTCTGACGCCACCACAGCGACCTGCAGCCTGCAGAAACGGGGAGGGAGCGAGTGGAAGGAAGTGGATTGAGTGACATCACCCCGGAGCTGGGCATTCCCCTCGCGCCTGGTGTGGGACGTGGACGTGGTCTCCGGCCTGGCAGCCACGTGCTTTGCTAAACCTCGAGAGAGTCTCGTAAAGCTAAGGAGAACAAGGGACCCTGGAGAATGCTTGGTCACTGCCACAAGTAAGAAAAGGAATACATAATCACATCAGTATCACTTTCCTTACCTATGAAATGGGGACGAAATCCTATTTCGCAGTGTTATTCTGAGAAATATATGAGAACACGTGTGTTAGAAAAGTGCTTTATAAACTGTGCAACACTAAACTATTATTTTTTACTTCTCGTTATTGATACTAGTATCCATAAGACATTTATTTATATACACGTAATAACCTAGTGCACGTTCGTTCTTTCATATGGTAGTCCGTCTTGCTTTTTAATTATAGATTTCTTGATGGCAGAGTCTCAATTTAAGTTGCCATGTATGAGACCTAACTCAATGTTGTAGATGTAATAAAACTCTGTGGGTAAAGTTAGTTATCAAAATCTTGCAGGTTTAAAGTTCTTTGGGTACTTAAGTGGCTGGGGAACCCGAGAGATAAATGAACACATTAGTCTTGCCTACACATGGAAAACCAGTTTACTAAATCTGCATTTGCCTACTCGTATTTGCCTTTGCCTGGTGGATTCATATAACATTTAGAAGCCTTCAGAAAGTATGCGATTAGTCTCCTTTTCATTTATTTATTTGGAGATGTAGCGAAATAAAATATTTGGCTATGCAGTTTCTAAATGTTCTCTTTCTCCGTTATTATTTCAGCTTTTCTACTGGTTTGAAAGAGTTATTTTATAATCTTTTTCCTCTAAGCTTTACTGAGATATAATCAATAAACAAAAGTACTCTGCGTTTAAAATGTACAACATGATGTGTGCATTGTGAAATGATTACCACAGTCAAGTTAATGAACATATCTGTCACCTCACATAGTTATTATTATTGTGGGTTTTTGTTTTTTTTTTGGCACGTGGTGAAGAACACGTGAGATCTACTCTCTTACCAAATGTCAAGTATACAATACAATGTTGTTTACTATAGTCATGCCGTCCGTTAGATTTCCGGAATCTATTCATCTTGCATAACCGAAACTCTGTATTTTGACCTATTTCTCCAGCACTTAGCCCCTGGCAACCAGCACTTTGCTCTCTGTTTTTATGAGTTTGACATTGGCCTGTAGTTTTTTTTTTTTTCTTCCCAAGGTCCTCATCTAGCTTTGATATCAAGTAATGCTGGCTGTGTCAAATGAGTTTGGAAGTATTTCCTCCTTTCCATTTTTTTGGAAGTGTTTGAGAAGAATTGGCATTATTTCTTATTTAAATGTTTGATAGAATTTGCCAGTGAAGCCATCTGGTCCTGGGCTTTTCTTTGTTCGGGATATTTTTGATCTCTGAGTCAATCTCCTTACTTCTGTTGTCTGCTCGGATGTTCTGCTTCTTTTTGAGTCAGTTTTGGTGTGTTGAATGTTTCTAGGACTTCATCTGTTTCTTCTTGGTTATCTGATTTGTCGGCATGTAATTGTTTATAGTAGTCCCTTAAGGGCCCTTGTATTCTTGTGGTATCGGTAGTATTGTCTCTTCTTTCATTCATAATTTTATTTATTTGAGTCTTATATCTTTATTTCTTAGGGAATCTAGCTAAGTTTGTCAATTTTGTCTTTCTTTCCAAAAATCCACTGTTATCGGTCTTTTCTATTTATTCTTGTCTCTGTTTCATTAATATATGCTTTAATCTTTATTGTTTCCTTCCTTCTATCTTTGGGCTTAGTTCATTTTCTAGTTTTCTCTTTTTTCTTAATGTAACTTTATTGCTATAAATTTCCCTCTTAGAACTGCTTTAGCTGCATCCCATAAATTTTGGTATGTTGTGTTTCCATTCTCATTGTCTCGAGGTATTTTTTTTTTTTTTATTTCCCTTTTGATTTACTTTTTGACCCGTCGGTTGTTCAGGAGTATATAATTTAATTTTCACATATGGTGAGTTTTCAGTTTCCTTCTGTTACTGATTTCTAGTTTCATACCATTGTGGTCAAAAAAGACACCTGATGTGATTTTGATCTTAAATTTGTTGAGACTTTTTTGGGGACTCAACGTAAACTCTGTCCTGGACAGTGTGACCCCACGAGTGCTTGGGAAGAATGTGTATTCTGCCACTGTCAGGAGAGATTTGTCTGTTCTGTATTTGTCTGTTCATGTATTTGGTCTGTGGTGTTATTCAAGTCTTTGTTTCCTTATTGATTTTCTGATTGAAGTTGGTTATTAAAGTCCTCTGCTATTATTAGAATGCTGTCTGTTTCTCCCTTCAGTTCTATTAATATTTGCTTTATTACAGGCTCTGATGTTGGGCACGTATAAATTTACAGTCGTATATCCTCTTGATGAATTGACCTCTTGATCATTATGTAATGACTTTCATCTCATGTCAAAGTTCTTGACTTAAAGTTTATTTTGTCTGATATAAACATAGCCACCCCTGCTCTCTTTTGTTACCATTTGCATAGAATGTCTTTTTCTATCCTGTCACTTTCTTTCTATATGTGTCCTTACAGCTAATGTGATTCTCTCATAGGCAGCATATTTTTGGATCTTGGTTTTTTGTTTTGGAGGGAGACCGAGAAAAATAGAGACCAGTGAATGCTGCACTTGGCAGCCAGAGGGAAGGTTAATTAGTATCATTAGTGATCTTCACTCTGAATTGGTTTATGGATCCAATGAAATGAAGCCTTGTTTCTACCCATTCTGATTCCCTTTAACCTTTTACCTGACACTTCATTGCGACATCCTAAGATTTTTCTTGTTATTTTTTCTTCTATTTTTTTTCTTTAAAACTCTCTATTATGATAGTCTCTTGGTTCTGTCTTGAAGTAACATTTAAGTCTCAATATGCATTCTTGAAGTTATTTAAAATAGGGAATATAGTATGAGAAAGAAAAAATTCACATATTCCAAAAGGCCATAATAAATGATTTTTTATTGATACTTCACCTAGATGCTATAGCATAACTTAATGGCTTGTGATTTCAGAAACGTGTTTATACTTCTTGACGTGGCCTTGCCCTTTCGTTTAATACTCTGCAGGAGATGTTTTTAAGCAGCAAATGGATTTGAAAGTCATTCTGTTTCTTCCAGATTACTTTTCTTTACACCATGTATTAGAAATAAAATAAAATTGCATGCAATTACAAATAAAATATATCCATATGTTCCAGTATCCTTCGCCATCAACTTTTGTTATGAATTCATTCGTTTAAGAGTGGCTGACATGTACTATTTGTCAGAGATGCAAATATGTAGATATGGCCTGCACAGAGAGCGTCTGGAATCCAGCTGGGAAGGAGACCGTGCAATAAAGGAGTGAGCTTGGACTGGTGCAGAACTCTTGGGAAAATTGCCCGGTGTCTGCAGAGCGAGGGGCACAGGAGGGGCTACTGGGGTGGAGCATGTGATCTGAGCCGTGAAGTTAGAGGAAGAGTTGATGGGGGAGCAGGCAGAGCTGGAGACGGAGGGGACCGGAAGGGCAGAAAGGACTAGAGCAAAGAATGAGAGGCAGGAAGGAATTTGGAGAGGTTAGATCGATGGGGTTGGAGGGCGAAAGTGGGGAGAGATGATGTGTAGGAAATAAGCACATCGAGAAAGGTCTCATTTGTTATGCCGAGGGATGTGGCGCTTAAGGTCAAAGAAATAGGGGACCGGCACGAACAATTTGTGTTTCATTAAGATGGCATTGTAATGATAAGTTTATAAAGACTAAGATCGATATGTTTAATTATTTGAACATGAAAAGACTGCGGGTCCAAAACAAAAATGACTAAAATTAAGCAGCAAGTTAAATTGGGACAACTCTTTATAATAAATGTGACAAAGGTTAATCGTTTTAGTATTTGAAGAGTTCATTCAAATTGAGAGCAACAGCACTAAGAAGATCCTCACAGATAACAGGCTGTGACGCTAGTAGGTAATTAGGAGATAAAATAGGCTAACAAACTGATTAGTATTCAAATTAAAACAACAGGGAGGTCTCATTTTTTGTTTCTCAAATTGAGAAACTTTTGAAAAAACTACAGTCAGACTACTCAGTGCTAACAAAGTATGGAGTAGAAGGAATTTTCATGCTTTGCCAGTGGGAGCATGAATTAATATAATCTTTGAGTCTGCAAACTGACCACACTCAGTGACCCAGGATTCTCTCATATTGGAATGTTAGCTAAGGAAATAATCTGAAGTATAGAATGGGCTATTTTGATGCTTAAATAAGATAATTCATTTGAAACACATTGTCCTGGCACATATAAGCACAAAATGAATGTTATTATTTTTATTAGCACAAAGATGGGCCATTAAACAAACTCAAAAGTCACCTTCAGTAACATTTAGAATAGTGTGGTACAGAGACTAACAGAGGTTTAATTTGGTTCATTATTATATTATTTTAAAGCAGGATTCAGGAACTAATTTGGCAATCATGACAAAAATATACATCTTGGGACTTTCTTGTATGTAGAAGGAGCCTATTACATGATCCTAAATAATGTACTTGATCATTAATGAAGAGTGATACAAGTCTGAAGAGAAACTGAAAATAAAAATTCAGTCTATCATTTAAAAGAATGGTACAATAAACTCTCCAACAAATACGTGCTGTTATCTGCAATTACCTTAAAATGGAAGAATTAAGGTAAGACGAGGCAATTTTTTCTTTTGGTCAGAGGTTGTAACCTAGCTGGAAGCAGGGGACTAGAAAGCAAAATTATAACTGGATGTTGGAAAATGGCTTAAACTGTATTTTTGGAAACTGCGTGTAGTCCAAGATTTGAGAGAAGTCTTTTCTCTTTTGTTTTTTCCACTTGAAATAACTTTCTCGGGCTTAGAATTGCATAATGAATCCGACTAACTCGAATCGCCCAGCAAAGAGCGATCGACCTTTGGTAAAATATACGCCGTGGAAGGTTCAGTGTTCCAGACTAATTTTTCTTTTCAAATGCATTTGTCCTAAAGAACTGCGATGCGCACAGCGTGTTACACCTGGTGGAATCGAACGATGAGATTGGCTCCCACCTACGCACTGCCTAGAAAAGAACACACCTGCCTCGTTTGCGAGACCTTAATTGCTGCCACCGTGGAGTTACTTTGAACTTGAAATGCAGCCAGGGTGGAGTGGGGGGGGCCAGGGGGAGAAGTCGTGGGTCCGCTGAGTCCCATCCGTTCCCTCCCTTTCCCCCTTCCCCGCCTTCTCCCCTCCCTCCCTCCTCTCCTTCATCCTTCCCTCCCACTCTTCCTTTTTCCTTTCCTTCAACAACGCGACTTAGGCGGCTTGCTTAGCCGACCTGACTCTGCGTTAGTCTTTCGTTTAGGAAGAGTTACGGGAACCCCAAGGGTGCACACGCTATGTCTAGATGCCATGACGTCATGATTCCTGTGAAGCGAGCATGAGCTTTAGAGGCAGGCGATCGTGTTGATTCTCAGTTCTGCTTCTTATTAGCTGTGTGATCTCGCTGTATAAGTCACTGAATTTCACTGAGTCGATGAATTTCACTCATTCGGTTTTCGTAATTACAAACTGGAGTCCATAAGATCCAGTTTGCAAGGCTGTGGCAAAGCTTTGGCATATAGTAAACGTTTAATATTTGGTACCAAATATTATTATACCTCCCAAACAAACCAAGAAACAAAAACTTCTTGGATTTCATGAGAGAAGATTTGATGCATAGATTGAAGAATGATTATCGGCCTTTCTTGTCA